TCTTAGTACACGATGTAACTACAAAAGAGTGCTCCTGCCATACCCGGAGATTGGCTGAATGGATTCAAAGACAGTAAACAACTCTAAGAGAGCTAAAATGAGTCTGTTTCCAAAAAAAAAGGTGAGGGATCCCTTTAAATTCTGAGACGTAGTTACAGAGTCAAAGCTATATTTTTACACTGCAAAAAATGCTTTATCTTGTTTCTAGTCCAAATATCTAAAAATTCTTAAGCCAAGAAGCATTTTATAGAGGGGAAAAGATTTTTGCAGTGTAAATCAACGATGAAGAACAAAACAAATCTTAAAAGACTCAGTGGTGGTGATGATAAGCAACACCAGCGCAGACTAATGTATGCTGGGGTGCAGCGCTTACACTTCAAAGCAGCCAACATGACGCTCAAATGCCGGGAAAATATCTGAAAAAGCCTCTCAGTGCGACGAGGAGGCGGAATACAGATGAAGGATTTGTGTTTTTCTCCTCTTACAGATGCAGACGGGGTCTGCAGGTGCAAAAACACAAGACAAATGAGTGGGTGGGTTCAAATATCTCTTCACTGAAGACTTAAAGAGTCGCCCCATGCGCCTGAAACATGACGGCGGTGGATTGAGCGTAAAGGAAAGATCCGTAAAGAGTTGATTTGCAGTGGAAGATCTCGACTGGGCTAAACACCAGGGGTCTGTTCTTCATACCTCACGTAAACTGTTTAACTTCACACCTCGCTTAAAGATCATTTGGCAGATCCTCAATCTTTTAATCTTGATTTAAATCTTGATGGTGCTTCAGACAACTTCAGGAATCAGATTAAAACATCCAGACCAGAGGTGTCAAACTCAATTCCTGGAGGGCTGCAGACCTGCTTAGTTCCAACCCTGCTCAACACACTAACCTGAAGGTTTTAAACTAGCCTGAAGCACTCAATTAGTTTGATCAGGTGTGCTTAATTAGGGTTTGACCTAAACTGTGCAGAGCTGCGGCGCTCCAGGAATTGAGTTTGACACCCCTGGTTTAAATGAACTCTATTCTAGGCTTATTAAAGCATTCAAGAATCAAATCACCGGCATATTATCTGTCAAAACATGTGCAGGAATGCCATAAATGACTATTCCTAAAAATAAATAAAATATTGGCAATGTTTATTAGCATAAAGAAGTTGTACTAAGCTGGGTTGGAGCCTTTAAATGGTATGTGTTTGTATCTAAAAAGTCCACATTAATAAATGCGGTCTTTGAACCCCAATTGGGGAGGCCTTGTAACCTGAGTGTAGATTACATAAGTTGTAGATCTCAAAGGTAAACCGCTGAGTTTTACCATTTTTGAAACCGTTCAGCCAGTCTTTAAAGAGAACTTTTAGCTTAGCTTAGCATAAATCATTGAATCGGATTAGACCATTAGCATCTCGCTCATAAATTTTAAAGGAAAAATCCATAAAAAGATGAAAATGCTTCTCGATTTAGCAATCGTTACATATTTAGATTAGAATCAAGACAAAAACAAGATTTGCATAATACACACACACACCAGCTCTCACTACCTGATAAAAGTCTTGAGGTGGATCTCGGTTGTAAGAGCAACAAATAACAACTCGACTTTTAGTTGATCATGTGTAAAAGTGCAGAAGGTGGATTTCTCTGATGGATCATCTGTTAAACTGCATCCCAAATCATCACCAATACTGCAGAAGACCTACTGGAACCAGCATGGACCAAGATTCTCACAAAAATCAATCAAGTTTGGTGAAGGAGAAGTCATGGTTTGGGGTGGCATTCAGTATGGGGGTGTGCGAGAGATCTGCAACATCAACAGCCTGAGGAATCAAGACATCTGTGCTGCCCAGTACATCACAAACCACAGCAGAGGGACAATTCTCCAGCAGGATAGCGCTCCTTCTCATACTTCAGCCTCCACATCAAAACTCCTGAAAGCAAAGAAGGTCAAGCAGCTCCAAGATTGGCCAGCCCAGTCACCAGACATGAACATTATTAAGCATGTCTGGGGTAAAATGAAGGAGGAGGCGTTAAAGATGAACACAAAGACTCTTGATGAACTAGTTGAATGATCAAGTCATTATTTGCTGTTCCTAAAACTTGGATAGGCGACAAGTTTAAACATTTTCCTTTTTTATCTGCAAGCATAGCTTATGTTCAAACTATTTATGATATTTAAAGTGGCTGGGAATAATACATAATCTTAATAATAGGAATTAATCTGCCTCGTTTTTTTAACTGCGCAGAGCTGGAGCTGCTTAATTAGACCTTTTACGTTACTGTATTTCAATACTGCTCATTAAGGTGGTACTTATACAGACTATTTTGGTCTATTTAAGTTTGAGGACCACTGAATTATTGCATTCTCCTGATTCTGTTGTGCACATTATACACTGTAAACAAGCAAAAAAAGCTTTTCTTACTTTAGTTTTTGTCTTGTGTCTAGTCCAAATATCTCAAACTTCTTAAATCAAGAGGCTTTTTAAAATAATCTTGTTTTTTAATTTAAAATACGAATACTCCGCTTACCCTATTGGCAGATTATTCAGCTTGCTTTAAGGAAAAACTCTTGAAAACAACACAATGTCTTGCTTGTCTAGAAAATGCTCCTCGCTTTAAGAAATTTGACATATTTGGTGTAATACCCGCCGGTTATTAAACAGTCCTCGCTTCCAAATACTGATGTCCACCATGCGTTTCATTTATTGAACACCGTGAAAACTAAAAGATAAACAAATAAACAAACCAAATGTTTCACAAAACACAACCAAAAGGACATCAAAATAAACAAATAATATATAAAACAATTTTAGTTTACCGTGTTGGCCTGATAACCAGCTGTGGAATACGCAAAAGCACTTAACAGGTGCTTGCATTGAGATCTCACTATCCTCTGGCATACAAACTCTCGCAGGTTAAATCAATCAAATCATATGACTTCCCACTCAAGTCAACCGGAAACAAAGAAATTAGTAACATAAACGAACACACTTAAATTATGAAACACAAACAATTAACAAAATTAAAAGCTGACCAATCAGCGTCAGCCACATTTGGACTAGAAACAAGAGCAAAACTCTGAGTAAGAACAGCTTATTTTTTTGTTTTGCGGTGTATTGGTTGACATGACACCATCCTCTCTTATTTTTCCTCCACTTTTCTCCCATCACATGCATCAATAGCACCGGGCCTGTCCAGGAGAGCTGGTTTTAACGGAAGCTATTACTTTAAAAGAAGCCCATTTGGAGCAGGTCAACATGCATAATGGCGATCCATCTGTGATACGGGAAAGAGACGGTCAGATGAAAACTGAAAAGGCTTTTAGCTAAAATCCAAAGCCCACGTCTAACAAAAAAGCCAGCGCACCGTTCTGTCTCTCCTCAGCAGGGACAATACATCTCGTTAAATCAGAAGGATTAATGATACAAAAACACAATAAAATGTGTCTCGTAGTCGAGTTTTTGTTTTGCTTCTAGTCCAAATTTACAAATTCTTAAAGATGCCCTATAATGGAGATCTGAATATACCAAGGCAGAGTAGAATAATCAAAGATCAGCATATGGAGATAGGCATACTGTGAGCCTCAGACACCACCGTCTCCGGCAAAACCCCAGTGAAAAACAGGCCAATCAGAAGACAAAACAAACTGTGAAGAGACCCACGGGCCACGCCCTCTGCATTTGCATGTATGCCTACTTTAGGTCATTCATCCAGACCTGTTGAGCAGCCACGTCTTTAAGTGAACACGACGCATATGCAGCTCTGACATCATTAATATGACCGCCCTGGGCTGCGTTTATGAGCAAATTGTGGAAATAAACCCCACATTGTAGAATGTCGTCATGTGACCTGGTATTTCGAATCACCTTAGTCACATGACCTGATATTTCGAATCACCTTAGTCACGTGACCTGATGTTTCGAATCACCTTAGTCACATGACCTGATGTTTCGAATCACCTTAGTCACGTGACCTGATGTTTCGGATCACCTTAGTCACGTGACCTGATGTTTCGAATCACCTAAGTCACGTGACCTGATGTTTCGAATCACCTTAGTCACGTGACCTGATGTTTCGAATCACCTTAGTCACGTGACCTGGTGTTTCGAATCACCTTAGTCACATGACCTGGTGTTTCAAATCGCTTTAGACACATGATCGGATGTTTCAAATCACTTCAGTCACATGATCAGGTGTTTCGAATCACTTTAGTCACATGATCAGGTGTTTCGAATCACCTTAGTAACATGACCTGGTGTTTCAAATCACTTAAGCCACGTGACCTGGTGTTTCGAATCACCTTAGTCGCATGACCTGGTGTATTGAATCACTTAAGTCATGTGACCTCGTGTTTCAAATCACCCAAGTCACGTGAACTAGTGTTTCGAATCACTTTAGTCATGTGACCTGGTGTTTCGAATAACTGTAGTCACGTGATCTGGTGTTTCGAATCCCTTTAGTCATGTGACCTGGGTGTTTCGGATTATACTTTGGTGCAGTGTTTCGAAACACTTGAACTGCGATTCAGGATCTCAACACTGTCAAAACGTCAGTTTCACATCAGCCATCCCTAGTCTCACCATATTTCGATCTTTGCTTTGTTTACCATTTTTATGTTGACCACATTTTATTTTCACCTTTATGCTCCGGTTTGCTCCTGTTTTGACCATTGCCTGTCTGACTACAGGTACTCTTATTATTAAATAACTGCACATGGATCCTCACCTCTGTTGTCAGCGTCCTTACGTTACATTGTTGGATTTATCTTTGCACAGACATGTTCACGAGCAACAGTTCTCATATCACAGATTATATATACAGCTGAAGCCCCCAGTACATTTTTTTTACACACTTTCTGTTTAGCGGAGACAAGATTCTCTCTAAACTCCTGAATCTGTTAAACATCATTTGGGAAATATTTTGAAAAAAAATTCACAGGAGTGCAAATAATTTTGGCTATATATCTATATTTACACAGCATTCTGAGATATTCACTAGACAAACTGTATACATACATGGTCATTGACGCCTTTGTTGTCTTCATACTTTGTCTCGATGTGGATGGAGAACTTTGGCAGGAAAGAGCACTGGAGACAAGACAAAAGTTAAAATGTCAAAATCTGGCAAACACAAATTGCCAACACATCAAGCCATTATAGGTTTACACAAAACACAGAACAGCTTTTCTCTCCCAAAACTCTCTTTTTTTCACGATTGAAAAATATTTTCTGCTCGCTGATAATTAAAACCCTTATGAATTAAATACTTATCTTTAGTAAAATGACACAAAGAGTTTAAATTGATCTTAAAATGCCTCTATTATTATATATTAAAGGTTACTTTTTTGTTTTGAAGGCATCCTTAAACATTGCACACCCATATAAAGTCAGAAACACTCAATATACAGCAGCAACAGCTCTTTTCTCACAGTGTCTGATTGGTTACAAGTCTCTACTCTGCTCTTATTAGTCAGAAGTCTTCACTCTGCTCTGATTGGTCAAAAGTCTCCACTCTACTCTAATTGGACAGATGGCTCCACTCTTCTCTGATTGGTTAGAAGTCTTTACTCTGATTGATCAGCAGTCTCTACTCTACTCTGATTGGCCAGATGTCTAAACTCTTCTCTGACTGATCAGAAGTCCCCACTCTTGTCTGATTGGTTAGAAGTCTTTACCCTACTCCGATTGGTACGATAGCTCAACTCTACTCCGATTGGTCAGATGTCACCACTCTACTCTAATTAGTTAAAAGTCTCTACTCTTCTCTGATTGGTCAGATGGCTTTACTTTGCTCTAGTTGTTCAGAAGTCTCCGCTCTATTCTGATTGGTCAGATGTCTTCACCCTTCTCTGATTAGTCAGATGTCTCCACTCTACTCTGATTGGTCCGATGGCTCTACCCTGCTCTGATTGGTCAAAAGTCTCTACTCTGATTGGTTAGATGTCTCCACTTATCTCTGATTGGTCAGATGTCTCCAGTCTACCCTAATTGTTCAGATGGCTCTACTCTGCTCTGATTGGTCAGAAGTCTCTACTCTGATTGGTCAGATGTCTCCACTTTTCTCTGACTGGTCAGATGGCTCTATTTTGCTTTGATTCGTCAGAAGTCTCTATTCTGACTGGTCAGACGTCTTCACTTCTCTGATTAGTCAGAAATCTCCACTCTACTCTGGTTGGTCAGATGTCTCCACTCTTCTCTAATTGGTCAAATGACTCTTCTCTTTTCTAGTCAAAAGTCTCCACTTTACTCTGATTGGTCAGAAGTCTCTATTATGATTGGTCAAAAGTCTCCACTTTACTCTGATTGGTCAGAAGTCTCTGCTACGATTGGTCAGAAGTCTCTACTTTACTCTGATTGGTCAGAAGTCTCTGCTATGATTGGTCAGAAGTCTCCACTTTACTCTGATTGGTCAGAAGTCTCTGCTATGATTGGTCAGAAGTCTCTACTTTACTCTGATTGGTCAGAAGTCTCTGCTATGATTGGTCAGAAGTCTCCACTTTACTCTGATTGGTCAGAAGTCTCTACTACGATTGGTCAGAAGTCTCCACTTTACTCTGATTGGTCAGAAGTCTCTGCTACGATTGGTCAGAAGTCTCTGCTATGATTGGTCAAAAGTCTCCACTTTACTCTGATTGGTCAGAAGTGTCGGCTATGATTGGTCAAAAGTCTCCACTTTACTCTGATTGGTCAGAAGTCTCGGCTATTATTGGTCAAAAGTCTCCACTTTACTCTGATTGGTCAGAAGTCTCTAATTTACTCTGATTGGTCAGAAGTCTCCACTTTACTCTGATTGGTCAAAATCTCTACTATGATTGGTCAAAAGTCTCCACTTTACTCTGATTGGTCAAAAGTCTCCACTTTACTCTGATTGGTCAGAAGTCTCTGCTATGATTGGTCAAAAGTCTCCACTTTACTCTGATTGGTCAGAAGTCTCTGCTATGATTGGTCAAAAGTCTCCACTTTACTCTGATTGGTCAGAAGTCTCTGCTTTGATTGGTCAAAAGTCTCTACTATGATTGGTCAAAAGTCTCCACTTTACTCTGATTGGTCAGAAGTCTCTGCTTTGATTGGTCAAAAGTCTCTACTATGATTGGTCAAAAGTCTCCACTTTACTCTGATTGGTCTCCACTCTATTCTATCCATCCATCCATCTCTTCAAGATATACATGATCTCTTCTTCTAGGGGGTCCTGGCTAAAATTGCAACACAGAAATGTTCACATAATAAATGAGCTCTTTTCTCATACGTCACATACACAATAGGTTAGAAAATAAAAACAATCATAAGAACTTGCTTTCTTTAGAGTAGACGATCATAAGACTGCTTAACCTGACTGACAGTGTGCAATCATCCTATGAGACATGCATATAACACCATATAGACTAAACAAAACAATTCCTGAACATCTGTGCACACAGAAATGATTCATTGGTAACTAAATGGTTTGGCAAAATCAGCACCCAGCCCCATTCATAAAGAGAGCGCAGGGCAGGGCGATGTGCTCCGGTACGACTGTGTTTTATGATGCTGCTGTAATAATGAGCTGTTTTCTGCCTGGGTGGATTTACAGTGCTGGAGCTGCGGCCCCTCGGAGACCCAACACACACACACACACACACACACACACACACACACACACACACACTGCTGCCTGATTAGATTAAACTCTGCTCCTGCAATCGCAATGGAGATCAATAGAGGCTCAGTTACATAATGCTGGAGGAAGAGCTGCTGCTGTGGGGGAGGGGCACAGATATACTGCACAGGAGAAGAGGAGGAGGAGGAGAGAAGGAAGAAGAGGAGGAAAGAGGAAGAGGAGGAGAAGAAAAGGATGAGAAAAAGAAAGAATATAATAAAAGAATATTGAAAAAAAGAAAAAGGAGAAAAAGAAAAAGGAAGTAGTAGTGGAAGAATAAGAAAAGAAGATCAGTTAAAAAAAAGGGATGAAAGAAAGCTGCTGCTGCTGCGGGGAGGGGGAAAGCTAGAGCACAGGAGACGAGGAGGAGGACGAGGAGAGGAGAAGAGGAGGAGAAGACAACTAAAGGAAGAGGAATGAAAAGAAAAAAAGACAAAAATGAAGATGAAGCAGAAAAAAGAGAAAAAGTTTAAGAAAATAAAAAATTCGAAGAAAAATTTAAAAAGAAAAGAGAAAAAGAAAAATCCATCTATCCATCTATGTCTATCCATGTATCTATCTCTATGCACCTATGTTTATCCATCTATCTCTATCCATCTATGTCTCTCCATCTATCCATCCATCTCTATCCATCTACGTCTCTCCATCTATCCATCTGTCTATCAATCTATCCATCTATCCATCTACTTCTATCCATCCATGTCTATCCATCTACATCTATCAATCTTTGTCTATCCATCTACGTCTCTCCATCTATCCATCTATGTCTATCAATCTATTTATCTATGTCTATCCATCTATCCATGTCTATCCATCTACATCTATCCATCTATATGTCGATCCATCTACATCTATCAATCTATCCATCTTTGTCTATCCATCTGTCTATCAATCTATCCATCCATGTCTATCCATCTACATCTATCAATCTTTGTCTATCCATCTACGTCTCTCCATCTATCCATCTATGTCTATCAATCTATTTATCTATGTCTATCCATCTATCCATGTCTATCCATCTACATCTATCCATCTATATGTCGATCCATCTACATCTATCAATCTATCCATCTTTGTCTAT